TAGAATGCTTACCTAGCTTGCAAGAAACCTAGGGTTTAGGGCTGGGAAGGTGGCTCAGTGGTAGAGCGCTTGCCTTGCATGCATGAGGCCCTGGGTTCGATTCCTCAGCACCACATAAGCAAAAAGAAAAAAGCCGGAAGTGGAGCTGTGGCTCAAGTGGTAGAGTGCTAGCCTTGAGCTGAAGAGCTGAGGGACAGCGCCCAGGCCCAGAGTTCAGGCCCCACAACCGGACCCAAAAAAAAAAAACAAAAAACTGGAGGTAGAGGTATGGCTCAACTTGGTAGAACACTAGTATTGCGCAATAAAGGTAAGGGAAAGAGCCCAGGCCCTAAGTTCAAGCCCTAGTACCAGCAGGCACACACGCACGCACACAGAAAAAGAAAAAAAAATTTAAGAGCCAATCCATAACCAATCCACCAGATGCCGATGGCTCACGCCTGTAATACAACTACTCAGGAGTCTGAGATCTGAGAATCGCGGTTCAAAGCTAGCCCGGGCAAGCAGATCAGAGTTTCAACTCTTATCTCCAATTAACCACCAGAAAACCGGAAGTGACACTGTGGCTCAAATGGTAGAGTGATAGCCTTGAGCTGAAGAGCTGAGGGACAGCCCAGGCCCACAATTTCAAGCCCCACCACCAACAAAAAAAAAAAAGAAAAAAAGTACGTGCTAACAATGTACTATACATAATATTGCAGAGGCAGGAAAACCTGTTCTGTATCCAATTTACAATCTAGTCTACATTCTCATCAAATGATCATCTTTCAGTGTATTTCATACATGCCACTATCAGAAAACTAAACTAGATATTGTCCTTAAGTATTTTTCTACTTATTACTCTATGAAAATATCCACTTAACAGAAATTTTGTTCTAACCCATTAGTCTCAACCAATACGGCTTGCAATTAATAAATTGCCAATTCCTGGCAAGAGATCTATATTTGTAAAGGGAGCAAAAACAGGAGGTGTCTTTTTTTTTTTTCAGTTGGTTGTAGGGCTTGAACTCTGGGCCTGGATACTGTCCCTGAGCTCTTCAGCTCAAGGCAAGTGCTCTACCACTTGAACCACAGCACCACTTCCAGTTTTCTGGTGGTTAATTGGAGATAAGTCTCAAGGACTTTGCTGCCTCGGCTGGCTTTGAACCATGATCCTCAGATCACAGCCTCCTAAGTAGCTAGGATTACAGGTATGAGCCAGCAACAGCCGGTAGGAGGTGTTTTTAACAATTACACATTGTGTGAAGACAAAAAAGAAAAGGACAAATATCATCTTCCAATAGTTTGTCTTCTTCACAATATTTTTTTCTTTCTATTTTTCCAAATTCCTTACCAAGATACATGTGTCTTTTTTTTTTTTTTAATGCCTGGAATCCCAGAACTCCGGAGACTGAGGCAAGAAGATTTCAGAGTTCAAGGCCAGCCTGATTACATAGAAAGACCTGGTCTCAAAAATAATTAAGCTAGGAACCGGTGGCTCGCACTGTAATCCCAGCTACTCAGGAGGCTGAGACATGAGGATCACAGTTCAAAGCCAGCCCAGGCAGGAAAGTCCATAAGACTCTTATCTCCAATTAACCACCAGAAAACCAGAAGTAGTGCTATGGCTCAATTGGTAGTGCCACGCACCTGGAGCTGAAGAGCTCAGAGACAGCACCCAGACCCAGAGTGCAAGCCCCATGACCAACAAAAATAATAACTAATTAATTAATTAATTAGCTGGGTGCTGGTAGCTCACACCTATAATCCTAGCTACTCAGGAGGCTGAAATGTGAGGACTGCATTTGAAGCCAGCCCAGGCAGGAAAGTCTATGAAACTCTCATCTCCATAAACTATCCAGAAAAAGCCAAGTGGTGCTGTGGCTCAAGTGGTAGAGTGCTAGCCTTAAGCAAAAGCAGCTCAGAGACAGTGCCCAGGCCTTGAGTTCAAGCCCCAGGACTGGTAGAAATAAATAAATAATAATAAATTAAATAATAGTTAACTAAAAATAGACAATCCATATCCTCCTTCCTCAAAACCATTCTTTTGAAAGATGCCAACACACTATCCATAAAGCTTATTGGTTCATCTCAAATCTTTCTCTAACTTCAGAAAGTGACAACGCAACCTATGACTCTCCTAAATTATCAAGGACAACTGATAGCAAAACCAACAAGAATCAATTGTCCAAATCCAAATCCAAGTACTCCACTTAGAAGATATTTAGTCCACAATGCTGCTCAATTAGAGCATGATCCATAATGAAGATATTATTGCTGACAAGGGAGGCAGAAGGAGATCTGGGTCATTCTTCCATAACTATTAGTTCCTTTCAAAGCAATAAAGAAAAGTCTGTATTAGAACAGCATTTAGCTGACAATGAAAGAACAAAGGCTCATGATGCAATTCACTTCCATCAAGGTATCTAAGGAGGAAAAAAGTAGAGATAAAAATACCTAGCTGGGCCAAGCACTGGTGACTCATGCCTGTAATCTTAGCTATTCGGGAGGCTGAGATCTGAGGATTGTGGATCAAAGCCTGGATAGGAAAGTCCATGAGACTCTTACTTCCAATTAACTCCCAAAAAATCCAGGAGTGGAGCTGTGGTTCAAATAGCACAGTGCTATCCCTGAGCATTTCTGCCCTGAGTTCAAGCCCCAGGACCAGCACAAAAACAAACAGGTTAGTGGGTGCCTGTGGCTTAGAAGGATGAGCTCTGAAGTTGAGGTTCAAAGCCAGCACAGGCAAAAGTCTGAGAGACTCTCCAATTAATCACCAAAAAGCCAAAAGTGAAGTTGTGGCTCAAGAGCACCAGCCTTAAGTGAAAAAGCTAAGAGATGTGCCAAGGCCCTGAGTTCAAGATCGTATCTGGCACAAAAACATAAAAAAGTACTTAGCTGGAAATTGGAAAATTTCTCTAATGGTTACTTATACTGGTGATCCTTCCATGTGGTGATAACTGGGGTCATCACTACCAAAAGTACCAAGTCCATGGACCACAAATATTCCAAAGATACCAACAAAAACAAATTGGACTCTAGGTGGTAGACTCAATGACAACTCTTTTCCATTCATAATCTTTGAATCCTCTCAACAATCCTATGAAGTTGAAATGAAACTGAGTTACAGAGCTTAAATAACTTGCCCACAGATACACAGTGACAGTCACATGGTGATGTTTTGGAGGTAGAGCTGCTGGGTAGTAACTGGGATTAGGTAAGGTCACCAAGGTAGGGTTCCCATGACGGGACTGGTGTGTAAGAGACCTGAGCTGAAGCACATTTCCTCTCTCATCTAGTGACACCTTCTACCATGCAGCAAAACAACAGCATTACATGCTGACATCATGTTCTTGAACTTCCCAGTCTCTAGAAATGTGAGCTAAATGAATATGTATTGCCTGTAAATGACCTGATCTCTGCTGTTTTGCCATAGCAACAAATATCATATTAAGACTGAAACCTCTCCAGAAAAACAAGAGGCCATCAGTAAAGAAAACCATCTTTGTAAAAGATTTTTTTTTATTTTTCAGTACTGGGGATTTTCAACCACTCCCTCACTGACATCTACTCACAAGTTCACAGTACTCTCTTCAGATAACTATTTTTTTTTTCTTTTCTTGTTTTTTTATTTTGTTTTTGCCAGTCCTGGGCTTGAATTCAGGGACTGGACACTGTTCCTGAACTTCTTTTGCTCAAGGCTAACACTCTACCACTTGAACCACAGCACTACTCTGGCTTTTTCTGTGTATGTGTTACTGGGTTCAAACCCTGGTCTTCATGCATGCTAGGCTACCACTGAGCCCCATTCCCAGCCCTTCAGATAACTCTTTAAAAGCAGTTCTGCCAAACCATACTGCTGACAACAGAGGCCATCTACCAGCATTTATTAGGCAACAGATTTTCTAGTCTCATTTCATCTCTTCACACCAAATAACCAAATAGGCACACTCCCACTTTACAGATGAGAACACTAAGGGTAAGAGAGGAAAGTCATTCAGCCCAAGGTCATGAGTCTGGTAAGTAACTAAATGACTACAGACAAGCCTTTGAAAGTCTTGGGTTTTAATGATTAAAATAGGAGCTCCTGAGCAGGGTGCCAGTAGCTCATATCTGTAATCCTAGCTACTCAGGAGGCTGAGATCTGAGGATTCGGTTCAAAGCCAGCCCAGGCAGGAAAGGCTGTGAGACTCTTATCTCCAATAAACCACTAGAAAACCGAAAGTGTTGTTGTAGCTCAAGCGGTAGAACACTCACCTTGAGCTGAAGAGCACAGGGATAGTACCCAGGCCCAGAGTTCAAGCCCCACGACCCACCAAAAAAAAAAAAAAAAAAGAAAAGGAGCTCCTGGTAGGTGCTCATGCCAGTAATCTCAGTAATCCTAGCTACCCAGAAAGCTAAGATCTGAAGATCAAAGTTCGAAGTCAGGCAGAGCAGGAAAGTCCCTGAGACTCCTGTCTCCAATTAACCACAAAAAGCTGAAGTGGAGCTGTGGCTCCAGTGGTACAGCACTAGCCTTGAACACTAGCCTTGAACAAAAAAAGCACAGGGAGCCGGGCGCCAGTGGCTCACACCTGTAATCCTAGCTACTCAGGAGACTGAGATCTGAGGATCGCAATTCAAAGCCAGCCCGGGCAGGAGAGACCGTGAGACTCCTATCTCCAATAAAACCACTAGAAAACCGGAAGTAGCGCTGTAGCTCAAGTGGTAGAGCTTTCGTAGCTGAAATGGTAGAGCTTCTGCCTTGAGCTGAAGAACAGCACCCAGGCCCAGAGTTCAAACCCCATGACCGACAAAAAAAAAAAAAAAAGCACAGGGACAGTATCCAGGCCCTGAGTTCTAGCCCCAAGACTGGCACGCACATGTGCACGCACACACACGTGCACACGCTTGCCAAACACACACACAAACACATGCACACAAAGGAGCTCCTCCTAAACTATCCTCTGGAGAACTACCTTGAGCCAGCAGATCTGAGATCTGCACCATGCTCAGGACCAACCCCATCACACCCAGGCACTTACCTGAATCTCTTCATTTTCATCTACTAGGAGGAAACTCACAACCTTCTCCGTCATCCTCTTCCCCTTGGTCTCCTCATCCATCTCCTCTGCCTCTAGGGACTCCTGGACCTTACTGACATGGTACACAGTAATAGGGTGCCTCCTCTTGTTACCTCCAGAATGAGTTCTCTTTTGGCACTCCAGGCACAAGTTGATTTTGCAGGTCTGACATCTCACAGCTGCCCTTTGTCTAACACCTGGAGAATGCCCATTGGGGCCTTTGCAGGGGTCACAGTAAGGGACGTGGCCAGCTTTGAGTCTTATCCGTTCATGGTTCCGCAGGCGCTCTTGCCGATGGAGTTCTTCCTCACAGCGCAAGCACTGCAAACTACAACACTCATCACACTCAAAGACAGCTTCGTCAGTCCCGCTGCAGGCATAACTCTCCTGGCACATCAGCCCAGGATTCAGGCCCTTTTCTGCTAGGGAAGTCTGGGCACTCATAACTCTCTGGTAATGAAACTACCCACTCTGTAACAGTCACCAAGCTTTCCCCAGAAGTGAAGACAAAGGTTTTGAGTCTGCAGACTCCACAGAACTTACACAAGGCTCTAGATGCCTTTAAAAAAAAAATCTATCTTTACACACACACAAATGTTTGAGTTTGGGGTTTGTTTTTTTCTTTTCTTTTCTTTTTTTTCTTCTTCCAAGACTCTTGTATCAGCAGCAATGTTGATCTTGTTTGATGGTTTTATCCTCCATAAAGTGCAGGGAAAGATGTGGTCAAAATGAACTTCGAAGTTGTTGATGACTGAGAAAGGTCTGTTGGGTTCACAAAGAGGGGCTCATGAGCTGGGCCTCAGCCACGAAGTTTCAGTAATGAAATAAAGTGGTCAGGAGTTTTTCCATATAATTCAACTTCAAGTAACTATGTCAAAAGATACCTAGAATAGAGGAAGGAAAAGGATTTCACTCATATAAAAAACAGAAGTGTACCTTAAAATGGCCAGGCACCAGTGGCTTACACCTGTACTCATAGCTACTCAGAAAGCAGAGGCTGAGAACTGAGGATCCAGTTTAAAGCCAGCCCAGGCAATAAAGTCCCTGAGATTCTTATCTCCAATTAAGCACCCAAAAAAAAGCCAAAGTAGAGCTATGGTTCAAATGGTAGGGTGCTAGCTTTGAGCAACAAAGCTTAGGGACAATGCTCAGGCCCTGAGTTCAAGCACCAGGAATACTGTCCAAAAAAGGAAATGCAGGGCTGGGAAGGTGGCTCAGTGGTGGAGTGCTTTCCTTGCATGCATGAGGCCCTGGGTTCCATTCCTCAACACCACATAAGCAGAAAAAGCTGGAAGTGGTGCTGTGGCTCAAGTGGTAGAGCGCTAGCCTTGAGCTGAAGAGCTGAGGGACAGCGCCCAGGCCCAGAGTTCAGGCCCCATGACCAGCAAAAAAAAAAAAAGGAAATGCACACTTATTACCTGACTTACGAAATGGTAACCCCCTCCATACAACACCTTATATAATAATAATAATAACAACAAGAGGATGGGAAGGTGGCTCGGTGGTAGAGTGCTTGCCTTGCATGCATGAGCCCTGGGTTCAATTCCTTAGCATCACATAACCAGAAAAGGCAAGAGGTGGCACTGTGGCTCAAGTGGTAGAGCGCTAGCCTTGAGCTGAAGGCAGCATCCAAGTCCAGGGTTCAGCCCCACAACTGACACACATACACACACACAAATAATAATAACAACAACAAAAAAAATTATATTTAAAAAAAAAGAGGGCTAGGAATGTAGCTTAGTGGTAGAGTGCTTGCCTAGTTCTTCAGTACCATGTAAGCAGAAAAAGCCGGAAGTGGCGCTGTGGTTCAAGTGGTAGAGCACTAGCCTTGAGCAAAAGCAGCTCAGGAACAGTGCCCAGTCCTGAGTTCAAACCCCAAGAATAGCAAAAAAAAAAAGAAAAGAAAAGAAAAAGAGAAGGCCATAATATTCAGAAAACTCTCATCCTGCTTCTAAACTAGTTTGGCTTATTCTTATACTAAAAATTTTATTTCAAAACCATGGATAGAGATCTTCCTTTCAAAAACAAACATAATTGCGAGGCACCAGTGGCTCACGTCTATAATTCTAGCTATTCAGAAGACTGAGATGTGAGAACTGACTGTGAAGCCAGCCAAGGCAGAGAAATCTAAGAAACTCCTATTTACAGCTACCAGCAAAAAGCCAGAAATGGAGCTGTGGCTCATATGGTAGAGCACCAGCCCAGAGGGAGGAAAGCTAAAGAAGAGCATAAAATCCAGAGTTTATAACCCAGTCAGGTGAGTGCACGCACAGGCACAGGCACAGGCACACACACACACACACACACAATCTAAAATCCCAAAATTCAGGAGGCTGAAGCAAGAGGATCACCAGTTTAAGGCCCCTCTAGGCTACATAGTGAGATCCTGTCTATAAAACACAGAAAAGAAAAACACAATACACCACCTCCAACAGTCCTTGGAAGAGTCATTCTCTGCACCCTCACCTGACTTTACAATCGGAAGGTGGACAAAGACATCTGTAAATAGCATAATAATAATAATAAACTTGAAACCCATAAAAGACCTGGGTGTCCAGCTCTCCTTGTAACTGGGCTATTTCAGCTCTAAACACATGCCTAGCCCTAGAAACAGCAGTACAATTTTACGTTCAAAAACATTATTGCACTTCCTTTTGTCCCCTTTTTCTAACTGCAAAAGGGAGTAGGCAACAGGAGGCAGAATTCCTGTACTATGGCCCTCCAAAGCCAGGCCTGCATGAGTCAAAACAAATAATTTTGCTCTTTGTCACTTGTAAACTAAAACTAACTTTAAAATAACTTAAGGAAAAAAAAAAAAAAAGGGGGAGAGGCTGAAGGAGACAACTGGTGGGGCAGGAAAGGGATTTTGGTCACTTCTGCGTTTACATTCCTAATTCCCGGTATCCTCAACCCCCATTCCAACACTCTAAGTAAAAAGTCCTCCTTTTCGGATATTCATTCCTCCCCTCCCGAAATCAATCCTATCAATCTGATTTTCAGATAAACAAGGAAGGGGAGGGAATAACCAGAAGACCTTATTTACACTCTAATGTGTTCAGCCAGTTCCCTAAACGGAAACCAAAATCAAAACTAGTCGCAATTGAGAGAGAAAAATTAGAAAATCAACTTTCAGAACACCTCCAGTCAGCCAGGCCAAGCAAACAATCAGCCCCTTCGGACCCTTACTTACCTCGACGCTTCCCTCTACCTCGGTTTCCTCACCCGACCTCCCTCCCGAACACCACTACCACAACCACAGAGGTAAGTGCCGAGTCAAAGAACAAAGAAGGTCCCCCCAAATCGCCCCCAAGCAGGCACAACCCGGAGCCGAGCCCATTGTTTATACCACCCCACCCCCACCCGAGCCGCACCCGGCCCCCCTTCTTCCCAGGGACAGCGAGAGCCCCAGGACGCTTGCTCGCCGGGTGCTGGGCCGGTGCCCTCCCCACCCTGCCCGCCACGGCCCGGGGATCCCACCGCGGAGCAGCTCGGCCTGACGAGGAGGCGTCGGGGACGGAGGGGCGCTAGTGGGGGTGGAAGGCTGCTCCTCAGGGCACGGGTGGATCCATCCTCATCTCCTTCTCCGCCCCCCTCCTCCTTCGGTGCCTCCCGGGCTTCCTCCTCTCCTGTTGTCAGTTAGGATCAGCTGATCAGAGTGAACTTCTCTCAGCTTGACTAACAGGAAGGCATGAGAGGTGCAGCCCCGCGAGGGAGGAGCGACAAGGGGTGGAGCGCGACGCCGGAGGGACAGGAGTGGCGCGCGATGACTTCTGGGAGTTGTAGTCACATGGCGCATCCTCTACGACATATCCTGAAAGTGTGGCCCCCTAAATGACTACAACTCCCAGAAAGACACTGCCGCCCTTGCTCGCAGGCGGTGGAAAAACGCCCTCGAGCATCTCGGGAGTTGGAGTCCTTGCGTGAACTGTTTTTTGAGGATTTTTTTGTTTTTGTTTTTGTAGGTTTTAACGCTTTGTTTAGGATTATGACCAGGAAAGGAAGGGTGTAAATTAGAAAACTAATGCAATAATGTTTAGTGTAAGTGGGGAATGGCGAGCCAAATAATATGATTTTAGGTAACCTTCATTACACATCATTTCTTTAGATATGTAGAAAAGTAGGCAATTTCTACTTTCCTAATTTCACCAGACACCAAGTAGGTCAAGGACCAGTAAGAATTGACCCGACTGCGGGTAACTCACGCGAGTAATCCTATCTACTCAAGAAGTGGAGATCTGAGGATTCTGGGCAGGTAAGTCTTTCAGACTTTTATCTCCAGTGTAAGCACCAAAAGAGTCAGCAGTAGAGCTGTGGCTCAAGTGGTAGAACGCTAACCCCAGGCTCAGGACCAGAACAAATAATAAGATCATCATCATCATCATCATCATGTTTTTTAAAATCAGAAAATACACTTTGGGGGAGTTGTTGTTGTTGTTGTTTCCCTTCAAGGTTATACATCATTTCTTCTTACATTCTGGTGGTTTTATTCGCTTTTTTTTTTTAATTGGTCATGGGCTTAATCTCAGGGCCTGGGCGCTATCCCTGAGCTCTTCAACTCAAGCCTAGCACTCTACCACTTGAGGCACATTGCCACTTCCGTTTTTCTAGTGGTTTATTGGAGATCAGAGTCTCATGAACTTTCCTGCCTGGTCTGGCTTTGAACCTCTATCCTCAGCCTTCTGACTAGCTAGGATTATAGGCCTGAGTCACTGGCGCCCAGCTTTTTCCCCTTTTTTAAACTAATTTTTATTATATCACCACTATACTAAGCTCTGACATGGTTCTTTTTCTGACTATTCCCTATATAAATTTTCCCTACATAAAGGTTCAGGCTTCAGTGCCTACTAATGGGTCCACAGTTACCAGACTTTTCAGAAATAGCTTTATATTTGTTTAGTGCTTTTGCTTTTACTTCTGTTTATTTCTTGGAACACACTGAAAGAAAGCTTAATGTAGTATAACTGAAGGCCTTCCTTCTCCCCTTTCCTCCCCATCCTTTTATGTATCTGAAGATGGAATACGAGTTGGGCACTGGTGGCTCAAGCCTGTAATCTTATTAGGGAGCTGAGATCTGAGGATTGTGGTTCAAAGCCAGCCTGGTCAGGAAACCAGAAGTGGTGCTGTGGCTCAAGTGGTAGAGCGCTAGACTTGAGCTGAAGAGCTCAGGGACAGTGCCGAGGCCCAGAGTTTAAGACCCATGACTGACAAAAAAAAAAAAAGTTGGAATACAAAAGATTGACTTCCTTATTCCCCTAGGTCAAGCAAAACACCAGGTGCACTCTCTCCTTCTTGTCCAAAGGCCGGCCATTCCAATCTTGGCTTAGCTGAAAAACTGGAGGCCGAGCATTCCATTCTGGGTGTGGCTAATGATAAGACCCTTGACCCCCTCGAGACCAGAGCCTAGTTTTTATTTTCTGCTTCCTTGTTAAGACCCATATAAACCAGGCCCCAAATCCAGTCCCTTGTGCAACCTCCAAACCCCCAGGGAGGTCTGTGACCCTCACTGGAAATAAATAATCCTGGTCCTGGAAATAAACAATCCTAGTTGGTTGACAATCATATCCAATCTATTCTTTTTCTGTTCTCCATTATCTTTTCAGTAAGGAACACTTATCTATGATGCCTAGGGCTAAGTGCTTATTCTAGAAAAGCTTGCAACTATATAAGTGGCTAGGATAAGTCACTCAATCTTGCCATAAACTAAAAAAAATAATGTACTGTGTAATTTATGAAATCTCTACCAATTTTAATGTTCTATGATTTTTTGTTTTTTCTTTTCTTTTTCTGTTTTTATTTTTCAAGTCCTGGACTTGATCTCAGGGCCTGGAGCTTCTTTTGCTCAAGGCTAGCTTGAGCTACAGCACCGGTTCTGGCTTTTTCTGTTTATGTGGTACTGAGGAATTGAACCCAGAGCTTCAGGCTTGCTAGGAAAGCACTCTATCATGAAACCACATTCTCAGCCCCTGTGATTCTTTCTTGATAATCATTAACCTAAGAGGAAAAAAAAAAGTGATTTGCCAAAGTTACACAGCATATTGTTGACACACCTGGGACTAGACCTCATCTCCTGACATAAAGTAGTTTTTTGTTTGTTTGTAGAGGTACTGATTCTAAAACTTAGAGCCTAGGAATTGTCCCTTAGCCTTTACCACTCAAAGCTAGAGCTGTACCTGCCATTTGCTTACACCTCCACTTCCAGCTTTTTGCTGGTTAATTAGAGATAAAAGGCCCACAGTCTTTTCTACCCATGCTGGCTTCAAACTTTGATCCTCAACTGTCAGCATTTTGAGAAGCTAAGATTACAGGCATGAGACACTGGCACTCAGCTACATTTCATATTTTATTTTTATTTTATTTAGGGGGGGGGGTTGGTCATGGGGCCTGAACTCTGGGCCTGGGCGCTGTCCCTCAGCTCTTCAGCTCAAGGCTAGCTAGCGCTCTACCACTTGAGCCACAGAGCCACTTCCTGCTTTTTTTCTTTTTGCTTATGTGGTGTTGAGGAATCGAACCCAGGGCCTCATGCATGCAAGGCAAGCCCTCTACCACTGAGCCACCTTCCCAGCATTCATTTTTTGTCTGCTTTCCTCCAAATTCCAAGTTTTAATGTGTATACAAGAGTAGAAGCTGGATGCTGGCAGCTCCTGCTGGTAATACTAGCTACTCAGGAAGCTGAGATCTGAGGATTGAGGTTCAAAGCCAGCC